ATGTTCGCTCTAAATCATAAATAATACTTCGATAACTAGCTGAAGGCGCAAGCAGGCTTCCCTATTTAAAGCTTGGCAGCTTAACTTGTTCTATACAGGGATCATACAGGATCGAAATTGAATTGGGAGACTCAAAGACCTGCGCTGCCTTAAGGCAGTCAACGGAATACCAGATCAGGTAAAAGCAGCAGAAGCCGTTCCTTCCGTTCCATTGGATCCAACCAAATTCTCCCACTGGATCAATCAGGCACCGAATTTCAATCCCTCAAGGTGGAAATTTCGCGGAGAATTAACTCCATCCATTCCATATACTATACAACCTGAAGTTATTCATTCAGTACTATCGTGATGATAGCAACTATAGGCATGTAATAAGATGCATGCAAGGACCAGTCACTTGCGATATCAAGCTTACGATTAACCTTTAGGCATCTCTTTTAAATTGAACGACACTGCCGACATAGTGGAGCAATTCCTGAGTCCCTCAAAAAAAAAAAAATTCTTTAATTCCTGTACAGGGTTAGACTAGTACCCATAAATTACCGGGGCTGTGCTTTTGTGGTCCATGCCCTACGAATTGGTGGGTCACATTCCATTCATGTCAAAAGTATTATCGAGTCAATAGCTTGTTCAAAAAACCGTCAGCAACTCAATTTACGTGTACAGACAGATATGATACTTTGCCGATGCCTTTTACCGAAACTGTGGCATTTAGAACATCCTGAAATAGAACTATCTACAATGTGCTCAGCACCAGAATGACAAGAATGACAACCTGACATTATTTCACACCCTGTCCGTCGCAGTGTCTCTATCCCAGGTATGCCTGCAGAACGTCCATCATTCCCGTGAACGCAACTCCATTTGGAGGTTCCAAATTGTACATATAGTCCCCCCACCATGGGCCGGCAGCCCACCAAAGCGCACCCTTCCACACGTCCGTGTTCTCAGCTAGATAATCCAACATTCCTTTCACGGCGGTTTTACACTGGTCGTTGTTTCCACCGGCGAACTCACCGATGATACCGACCTTCTTGTTGTCCTTGAGCCACTGAGTAGCACTGGTGACGCGCTCCTGGCCAATCGTTCCAGATACGCAGGTCTCGGAGGTACCAGACCCATCCGAGTCCAAATACTGGTGCATCTGGTAGACTATCTTGTCCTGGGGATCCTCCAAGTTCTTCATGTTGTCGTTCACATCGGTCCAGGTCCATGCCCCGGTGTACGAGTTACCTTCAACGAATATATATTGCTCCGTGGCGCCAGCCTCTCGGATCCCGTCGATGGCGGCTTGGTTGAGGTTCAGGACCAGCTCTTGGTCCATGTCATGGTATTCATTGTCTGTGAATTTGGTGTTAGGATCGAGGATACCCAACTCAATGTAATAATGGGAAAGACCCCGATTGGGCCGACGTACTGGTATCGAAGATAACCAAGGAGTTGCTCTTGAACTGTCCTGCCAGGTTCTTCCAGAAGGTTTGGAAGTCAGATGCAGTGGATATGATCTCGCCATTGCTGTCATGATCAAAGTTAGACGGAATCCTCTTCTTTAACCCTCCGCAATATGCGAGTTCGGGGCCTACGAGATACTCACAATCTTCCATAGTTATGGGGATCCAAGATAGCATGGACACCTGCATCAGTGACGGCATTGACCACCTGCAAGCATCGTCAACACCCCAGATATTCTTTTTGGCAGATAGACAACTTACTGTTGTCAAGTTCTGCAGGTAGGCCTCATCGTATGCCCCCGTCATTGAGTCTGGAACCAACCTCTCCATCTTGAATTGGATACGAAAAATATTCATCCCCTTATCAATCAGGGTGGTAATGGCCGAGACATCCGGGAAGATATAATCTGTACCCTGTAGCAATTACACTCAGTTGGTGAACGAACATCTCATAGCGCATGGTGATCATTTGTTCGAGGCCACATACCCATACACCAGGGAGGTTGTTCTCGCCGAATTCAGCTCCCGACTCATTGGCGCCGATCCCTGTATGATTTGTTAGCACAGTGATTTCAAACTAAAGACAGAAGAAAGAGACAGAAGATGACGAAGGGCAGACTAACATTGGAAGACTGAATCCCTCTTTTTTTGCTCCTTAGCCAGAGGAGCAGCAACCGCAGAACCAGCTACGGCAGCAAAGAAAAGGGTACGGAATTTCATTGTAACGAGAGCTCAGAATGGAACAAACGAGACAAAGGAGAAGAATATAGAAGGATCGACAACAGGTCAACTGCTTGTGCCCCAATAATCCTTCCATCGCCGGGGAACTGGCAGGATTATATATACTAAAAGCCCGAGAAGTCCTCTCAGTCGGATCTGGACAAAGATAATAATTCACAACATCGTTGCGTCGGGACTTCCTCCTTTCACTACAGATAGCACGAACTGATTCGTGGAATCCATGACTTGAAACATGCCGATCAGGAACAAACACACTGGATGTCGGGGTTTCGGCCCGTAGGGACGCAAAGCCATTGACATCTCGGTTGTTGAGAAAACCAGACCCACGTTTTAGCCAATTACTACTACTTCGAAGAGTGGAGTGACGATGGTAACAATTAGTTCAGTCAACGGGTATCAGAATTATCCGGGGACAGGCTTGGAAATTATGTAGGGTTCCCTTTTGCCGTCTTGGCCCTTGGATGAAACGCCACGGAGATGAAATCTTCAGGTACGCGTGACAGCGATCGACAGCCTAACAAAAGCCGACTAGTTGAATGAGACAGATGAGGAGATGCAATCTTTGCACGTCCGTGCCTTTCTAGGTATGGTCCTTTCGGGCTTCCTTGCATAATTCTGGTTTTCTCGTGTCCATCGCAGCGTTCAGTGTCATATGCATCGTGACAATACTTCCGACTCGACACGGAACAAGAATATGCAAGGGTCAATCATATGATAATCTAAGTCATACACGTGTAAGCGCTGTCATCCGAAATAAAACCAGATTATTTGGTGTCCTGTCTCAATGATCAGTTAACAAGGGGACACTCTTTTACGATACTACAATGAGGTCAGCAATAATGCCCAATACATACTCCTTCGTTTACACATCAAGTCAAACTAATAAGCTTATGTACAATGGATATCCCGTAAGCTACCATGCCCCCAAAGGCTGCAGAACCTTCTTCATATCTTCCGCTTGGAGCTGATGATACTTAGCAGAAGGGTGATAGTCATTCCACCAGATACAGGAGGTGCCGTCCTCATTGATGCAAGTAGCATCGGGGAAACCGTAGTCTGTGGGGTTATCAAGGATCTTTGTCATGAAAGACCAAGAGTCGTAGTATGCGACAGTAACCTTTAGCAGCAGGGTCGGTTAGTCTTCGAATACTACGAACACACCGTAACTATACTTACGTCTGTATGATTGGTTTTGAACTCATCCACCAATGATTCAAGGTTTTTATTATAAACAGCCAAATATGCTGCATGCTGCTCAACCGTGGCATTGCCCTGATTAATGAACATGGGGCTTCGGCTCGTAGGAGGCACATTGAGGAAGAGGAATTTGCGACCTCCAGCACTGTAGATTTGCTCCACTAGGGAAGCAAGCCGTGCGATCAACTTCGGTGTGAATGTATCGGCATCGGTATTGTAGAATGCATTTCCGATGCTAAGCTCAACAAGTGAGTACTGGGCTTGTTTCAAACGGTTTCACTTGAACAGGGGACATACTCATTGATTCCAATCCAGAACCCGAAAACGGAATTATCCGCCGACCAAGGCGCAGAAGCCGGCTTGGTGCTGTATTTTTCGTCGAAAATATCGACCTGGGAAGCAAGGTCCACGTCTGTGGACCCCTGGACGAGCGAATTATCAATGCTAGCACCGCCCACTGCCAGATTGTAGGAGAGGACGAGAGACGCATTCTGCCCCGTCGTCAGGTATCCAACCCAGTTCTCACCCCCGGTGGTGGTACCAGTTCCTGGTCTTGCATCAATATGTGGATAGTACAATCGGTGTACTATGTAACACTCACCCAAGGCGGGATTTCCCATGGGATTCGAAGGAGATGGCTGTTCTCCAGTGGTGCTGAAACCGGTTTGCGTATATGAGTTGCCACTTGCATAGAGTTAGTTTGTTTAGAATAGTCGTAAAAAGACATTCCATACAATGTAAAGAAGTAAGTACTCGTAGTGTTTACAGCTCTCGGCCACGGCCGCGCAGCAACCGTGGAGATGGCGCTTGCCATGAGCCAAGAGTTGAGAAGCTTCATGGTAAGAGACACAGTTCGTACGGTAGAAAGATACTGTTCGCAAAGATCACTAGCTTATTGAAACAACCTCTCTTCTTGCAGAACCGGAGGGTCTCCGTCCACGCTTTTATAGGCATGCATGCTCACGGTCCAACAAACCTAACTTATACACTCCACTGAAAACGTCACAGGAATCCTCGAATGATAAGAACTAAAAAAAAAAAAAAAAAAAAAAATGGCATGTTTGAAGAGCGTCAGTTATTATCCATTCAGCATTACCAAGTGGAGTACATCGGCGACTGAGGTCTGCTTGGCCCTCAGAGCTCCAAATTACCCGGAATTCCTCTCTGGATGTCTGGTCTCGTTTGGTGCCGGAAATAATTTCACCGAGACACAGCGCGTTGAAGAAAACTGTTTTCCTTATCCCGGGGAAGAGGGGAAATTGGGAGTGAAGATCGCAATTCTTGATTGCAGTTGTCAGACGTTGTTTCAACTGCCGGTGGGGTTCGGACCCTATGCCGTTTTGGTCACGGCATATGAATCTCAGTTCATCCACCAAGTCAGATATAGTGTAGATTCGCTGTCAATATATTAGAATCTACCTTCTATGCGTGGAAAAAAAAAAAAAAAAAAAGTCATTGATGTCGAGACTAGGACGTTATACGTAATGTTCATCAGCTGGATGGGGATTGAATTGAAAGAGCTAACCCGGGAGCTCCAATATCAGTACAAGACATAAATCGAGACAAACAAAGTGCAGCCACAAAAGCTCTCTCCAGTAATTAGAGTAATGATCACTCGCACCAGAGTGCCGCATACCTCAGGTTCTCTGTGGAGAGTTTGTGCAGGACTGCCATCTCCAATATAACTCCAGGTCCAATTGCCAACGCTATGACTTTATCTCTTCCATTTGCACTATGATCACTGCCATTCCCGTGATGCCTCATATAATCGAGTATGTTGAAAACAGTGGAGGAAATCGTACTCCCCCTAGACCTGTAGACTGCGTGACTATGGGACAGGTTAGACTTTCGAAGATCTAGTGCTTCTTGAGCAAAGTTCAAGGAAGAACGGCCTGGGAAATCTGAAGCCCAGTTGTACGAGTTCGGCAAGCCACGAGTGAGATCAGAGCGAAGGCTTGGAGTTGAGTTGATGAGAGCCGTGAAATTGAGAAACAACTCAGAAGAGTCGAGTCTAGGGATAAACGTCGATATAATCGGTGTAAACCCTTGGTGAGGAGAATTTCATTAGGCAAACCGCAGGATTTGGAACATAGAATATGTATCATTGGAGACTAGGTATGCAGTCGAGGAATAGATGTACTCACCAAAAGGTCCAACGTTAAGCTCGCTGTAACCCTCAGACCCATTGACTATCACGCTTCGAAACCCAAGTAAATCCCAGATGGGGCCTCTTTCGAGTACTTTGGTGCCTATCCAGTTAGTGAGCACTAACGCAGACGCACCGTCGCTGAATCGGGACAGTCCAAATCCCACTTCCTGGTCCACATCAATACGGTGGAGCTCTGCACGAGCAAAAAGTGTCGGCAAGTCGCACGAAACAACAAGAGCTCGCGCCGGCAGCCCCTGAAGAGCCGCTCCTGCGAGAAGATCATGAGCCATGCGCAAAGCTGAAACTCCACCGGCGCAGCCAAGACCATGTAGTAGAGTGCGGTGGACTGTGGGACGAAGGCCAAGCGTGCTACATAAGGTGATGTCAAACCCCGGGTTTGCAGTATTCGTACATGTCACAGCTACAACATGAGTTATGTCGTACATAGAACCGCCCCATTCTGTAATAGCACCCTTTGCAGCACGACAAACTAGTGAAATAGCGTGTTCCTTGAATAGAGCGCCGGTATCTGCGATCGTGGGTAACGTCTGCTGGAACCATATTGGATCATCCAGGGGAAGGACGCTGCACAAATGCCTAATACCATATCTTTCGATGAGATCCAATGTTTTCGATACTCTGGATAGCAAGTTAACCAGCGACCATAGAAAGGAAAGGGGTGACCATCTATTAGCCTTACGCCGGAGAGTGACGACAATGGCGAGATAAGAGTGCTTCGAGGAAATCTCGCTGGAGGAGAGTGGCACCATATTGTGTCGCCATTCCCACCACTGAGATGGTAGGGCTTGGGTGTTCATCTTGTGTAAATATTTGACGGCATGCTTGTTTACATACACGCCAACGTGTGATGAGCACCAGGCGTACCGCATGGTATCTCTGTTTCAAACTGAGGAACTGCATCTTGATGTGAACTGGATTACAATGTGGTGAGGTGCAAAATGAGTTTGGTAGGAAGTTCAAGCACAGGCTTGCATGTCTGTGAGTATAATCGCTGTGGCGACATGTGGATGTGTTCTCGGCGTGCTCACCCTGGTCGTCACCTACATTCACAAGACAGCTCTTGCTTATACACTGATGTTAATGTCAGTTAGCAGTATAATTGGTTAGAAAACTGGGTTGCTTAATATTGAAACTCTCTATATTCTCTGCATCCGATCCATGCAAACATCACATCGTAACCACAGTTGCACAAGTCAAGGCAGTCGGATGCCCATCATTTCCATGCCAACACCACAGACAAGAAGCTTGGTCTCCCCAGACTGTTCGCGGATGAGACCCAGAGATGATATGTCTGCTACGGAGCTATATCTATCTGCTATCATTTGCACTTGAATTGCGTTCGCCCCGGTTTTCTTAACATCTACCTCAGCGCACCAGATCTTGACCCGGTGGTCATTACCTGAAGTAGCAATAACGGCATGCATGGTTCCCTTGTCCTGACATTGACGTTGCATGAGTATCTTTCCCGTTGTGATACATGCCGCATGGGCGTCGGGGATTGTGATTGTGGTAGCATCGCCAGCCTCAGTGCTCGTGAAGTTCGTGTTCAGTAGGGAGAGCGTCAGTGCATTGTCATCACCGGCCGCAATGACAAGAGAAACTGCATCCGATAGATGGGCAAGCTCCAGGCATTTGATACTGTTCGAATGGGTCTGGTATCTGTTTTCGCATGAGATGTTCTTGGGGGTAATCGAAAACGTGCCGATGGGCTGTTTCAGGCGAAGAGCCGAAGAGATGGTATAGTACGGCTCTAAGACCGAGGTTAAGTTCCAGAACGTGAAATAACCATCTGTGGAGGCTGTTAAAAGGCTCAGGGAGGAGCCGCGCAGCAGGAAGCATGCTTCGGTGAGGCAATTGCTTGTATAACTGCCCTCCGCCAGTAGGGTGAAGTTGCCACCATCGACCGTCGAAGAATAGTGGAATATCTACATGGTTTAGTAAAGGGGTATAAGAGAGCAATGGCCACGGAACTTTACCTTGAGTGTGGAGTTAGAATATACTAGGCAGAATAGGAAGCTGCCGTCCGACGTATTCTCATCTACCTGCAACACATCAAAGCCGGTCACTCGAAGATCAGAGAACGGATCATCCCTGACTGAGGCTACTGCATTTGTCGCAAGTCCAAACAATGGAATCGAGCGAACCTGCCAAACGATGAATTCTTCGCTCCCGCCACTGGTGAAGAGAAAATTCCCCTTCTTTGACCAGCGGACTTGCTGCAGTCCGACCAGATGCTTTTTCAGTACCCGCAGACATTTAAAGGAGCCCCGCAGCTTTTCTTCCTTTGGTTTTGTCGGTGCAAATATACGCACGATAGTATCCTCCGCCCCAGTTGCAAAGAGAGGGCCATCGGCCGAGTGGGCTACATCCATAGCCTTGATCTCTCTTCCATGTCCTCCCGCACGTAGAGTACGGTTAGCATCACCCCGAGTCTGAAGAACATTGAGATTCTTTTGGATCCATATAAACAAGCCGGAACCAGGTTCCTCTGGGTTGGGTTGGAAGGCCCATCTCCGATGCGCACCACCACATAAGCGTCTGACAATTTCAGATTGCGTGGTCTCGTTCCACAAAACGAACTCTTTTCCATGGAACCCATACAGCATAAGATCATGGGAATGTCTGTCAATATAAGCACCCTCTATTTCAATGGTCCGAGTAGCATTGGAGCGATGGATCGTTTGAACAGTAGCCAAGTTTTCTGAATCTCCGTCGGTCTCCACCTCGTGCACACAGTAGACTCCAGATCGACCGCAAGTCAAGAAATAATTAAGGGAAGGGCTGGTTTCTCCATAAAGTGACGAAAACGATGATATATGACTGATACCTTCCTTAGAATGTATCTTACGATTCCAGATGGGTTGTTGAATAGGTATCGTGTTCCCAACGCGATATAGGATAAGGGAACCGTGCGCATTACCAAGAGCAACAAATCGGTTGCCACAAATCAAGCTTGCGCAAGTTACGCCAAAACTATGAGGAAGGGCTAAGGTTAGAGTCTCAATTCGTGATACCTCCCCTTCTGATAGTGATATTTTGATTAGACTCAAATGGTCTTCTTGTTCGTGGGATGAGATGAAAGATAAGGTCTCAGGCGAATCGGAAGCACCACGGTTATAATCAAGGGCAAGGAGCACCAATGGCCTTGGGCCACTTTCAACAATTCTGAGCAGTGATCTGGTGTTGTGATTGTACAGACGGATTAATCCTTGTGCATTGCCCAAAAGCGCAATGCCACACTGTGGCAGGGAAGCTATGGCACAATAAGATGAGAGATCTTCTTCATGGAACAGTGTTTCCTTGAGGATGACGCTCTCAGTCGAAGTCTCCGGGCTGATCCAACAAACCTGCACCTCGCCACGTGTAGTAGTTGTTAGGAAATGTTGTGGTGTAACAAAGGTGAACGCCCTAACTGATTTATCGACCCTAGATTGAGATATTCCAGGACCAGCCGAGGCAGTAATGCTGTTGTTTCTGTTCGGCAAAACAACTGCACATTCCTCATTCACCTCTATCTTGAAACTTTTTATAGCGCCATCAGCACCACCAGTATACACCGTTGTATCCTTCGCAGTGCTGCGCATGCATAAAGACCAGATATGCTTTCCGGTATGGTTATGCCATGAAGAGATTTGACCTAAACTAAACTTCGGCCTCGGAGATGATGGTTCCCAACTGAGATTCCAAACTATACAAGTTGCATCCTCGCCACGTGAGAGCAGGCTCATATTGGACTGATCCTCAGCTCTTGTAGGCAAGAAATGAACACTCCATATCCGAGCTTTATGACCAAAGGCACTTGCCACACAGGATCCTGAGCCAAGGCCATCGCCAGTAGCTGCTCCACCAAAGCCGGTGCTTCGAAGTTCAAAACCATCCGTCGAATAGGCTGAAGGATCATTAGGGGATGCATGCTCACAGTCTGAGATATTCCATATCCTGACTGTTCTATCGTCACTACAACTCGCCAGGAACCGTCCACTGGGGCGACCAGGTAAAGAGGCAATTGCAGGAGATATCCGGACCCCAAAAACAGATCCCTCATGGCCGGTGAAGAAATGATGGATGGAGCCAACAGCACTGGGACTAAGGTGCACACTTTCGTCCAAAAAGCAAGACCAGACTATCACCTCACCAAAGACGGTTCCAGCAGCAATCAGCACGTGCGATGCCGAACATGATATAGTATCGGCTGAGTAGAGAATAGACTTGACTCCAGCCACGAGCTGCTGAAGATGAATCGATTTCGGATATGCCGACGAGCCTCCATGCACTACATAAAGCCCAAGGAGGCTATTATGGGCGGTCACCACGTAAGCCCTGTCCACTCCATTTATGGAGTCAGGCGCACACCCAGCCAGAACCCAATCTGGCGCTAGATATTCCGCACTGATAGGAACCAAGGACGCTTCAGATGTTTCAGCAGCCTCATTTCTAGCAAAATACAAGTCGATGATTCTCAACGATTCACCTCCCCAAGCTAGAACTTGTGCGTATGAATTACCCGTTTGCTCGTCTTTCTGATTCAGAACTATGAACCCATGGACGTTATTTCGTTTGAAGGTCTTTAATTCGGCCAATACTTTGCCACTCCCATCATCAATCAACCGAGAGTACGGCCCTTGTCCTTGCAAAACAAGTCTTGCATCTCCCAAATCAAGTGCTTTCAATGCAGTTACAGGGAGGCAGACATTTATGTGCTAAGGGTGGGATTAGCGGTTGCATTGTGCGGTATTGAATATCGATTACCAACCTCGAGCGGTAGATGCATTGATGCAAGAGACAACACATTAGTTTGCAGGCCCGTGAATTTTTGAATGAAAAGTTTCCTGACGCTCAAATTTCTACAGCAGCGTTTCCCCACATGCCTCGATTATCATTTCCAAAATTCCAGAATTTCTAGTTAGTTATCGATAGCGAGGCGGCTTATGTAATACATAAATTTCGCCTTAGGCAATTTATTTTCCAGTAAGAGGCATAATTGAGCACGTGATATCGCGGTTCTCGTGTCAACGCAGTGGCGACACGAGCCGAGGGAGTTACTTACAATCATCTCTAGTTATCGCAGTGTCGAGGGTCGTCCCACCGGTTGGCCTGTCGACTTCCGTGAGCCTTCAAGACCGTGTATACTCTTCACAGTTTGGTCTATGAGTGCGTCATAAGGTCATGTCGTCGAGAGTAACTACTATGACGCAACCTTAGATCCGCCATTCCCTAGGTCAGCATGGGCGTCCATGGGCTTTGGACCGTTTTGCAACCTTGCGCGCGGCCTATAAAACTAGAGACACTGAATAAGAAGCGCCTAGCAGTTGATGCTTCGATCTGGATATATCAGTTCTTGAAAGCTGTACGTGATAAAGAAGGGAATGCCCTTCGTAATTCTCATATCGTTGGCTTCTTCCGTCGCATCTGTAAGCTGCTTTACTTCGGAATAAAGCCGGTTTTCGTGTTTGACGGTGATGCACCGATTCTTAAAAGACAAACCATAGCTGGCAGAAAGAAAAGACGGGAGGGTCGCAGAGAAGATGCCGTACGAACCGCCGGGAAGCTGCTTGCCGTGCAGTTGCAAAGGTCCGCGGAGGAAGAGGCAGCCAGACTCAAAAATGGAGTGTCTGGAGAGCAAGAGGAAGTCCCGGATAATCCGGTGTATGTCGAAGACGCTGGTATGACCGAGAAAGAGAAGCGCCAAGCTCGGTCATTCAGGAAAAGGGATGCTTACCACCTCCCGGATTTACATGTTTCACTCGAAGAGATGGGGGCTCCAAACGATCCGCGGATTATGTCTCGTGAAGAACTGGAAGAATATGCAAAGCAGTTCTACAGAGGTGAAGACATTAACCTATACGACTTCTCCAAGATCGATTTCGATAGCCCATTTTTCATGAGTCTTCCTGCCACGGATCGATATAATATCCTAAATGCCGCGCGACTACGAAGTCGGCTGCGCATGGGTTATTCTAAGGAGCAGCTTGATAATATGTTTCCAGATCGTATGGCCTTCTCAAAGTTCCAAATTGAGAGGGTGAAAGAAAGAAATGACCTTACTCAACGTCTGATGAATATTAACGGCATGAATGGTGAAGATGCTTTCTATAAATCGGGCCAGCGGATTGCTGGAGAGCGCGGTAAGGAGTATGTGTTGGTCAAGGACAATGCCGTGGAAGGTGGCTGGGCGCTGGGTGTCGTAGGAAATAAGGATGAAGGGCGGGAGCACAAACCTATCGATGTCGACCAGTATGGCAAGCAAGAAATATTTCCAGAGAAGGATGAAGATTCGGAAGACGACGGGGGGTTTGAGGATGTGCCCATAGAAGGCCTCAACCGACTTCCCAAACTTGAGTTCCTTCGGGAAGACATCTTCGATGTTTCGATCAGACAGCAAATGCAGGAGAACACTGAGCGAAGGGCCACTCATGGTCTGCCACAGAGCCATGAAGATGACTCTCTTTTCGTGCAAGAGGATGAGCACGAAAGACTACACCGCTGCGGACGTCGCGCTATTGATGATATATTTGAGATGGATGGAGAGAATCAAGATGAGGATCTTCAAAAAGCGATAGAAATGTCGCTGAGACCCACACCTCCTCTAGATCAACATGATAACGACATGCCAGACATCTCGATCAATCGTAACAGTGTTCCTCTAGTTCCGCTCAAGGAAACTATAACAAGTTTCAGTCCTGAGAGCGATGGCGATGACGATGACGATGACTTTGCAACTGCCCTGGCGCAGTCGAAGAGGGCAAAGAAAGACCCAGCCTCGAATCATCCTTTTGATGGGCCTCTTCCTTTTGAGTCTATCAAGCTTGACAAGCCCTTCAAAATGAAAAAGTCCCAACATGAAGAGCTCGATCAGCACGCAGGTGGCTTCGAAAAAGAATCAGCAAAGCAAACAAATACCGAACGACCGTTACCACCTTGGTTTTCTGGGGGTAGCTCGACTGCCGAGTTTATTGCCGATAACGATGGTAACCCATTGGAAGCTCGTCGAGATAATACCATGACCCCAGACCATGTTTTCCTGAAAAATCATCAAACTCCCAAAGTCATTGATGTTGATATGCTTCCTGGTTCAGATGAGGTGATTGACTTGGAAGCAAACTCTGAGGAGTGCAAACAGCCTCGGGCTACACAAACACTGAACAAGACAGAGAGTCCGACAAAGGATACTACGGCTGCATTCCGTGAGATTTTTACGACAGCTCCTGAAGCTATCAACATCCCCGGACAAGTTTTTATTGCAGAGACTGCCCATGAACCATCTACTTCCCATGAAATAGAGGCTAGTAGGGATGAGCAAGCAAACCTGTATCGTACTCAACCGTCGCCATCTCCCGAGTTTGAAGATGTTGAGCTACACCCAAAAGAGGCGACAACTGGCACTATCGTTCCTGAGGTGGAGTCACAAAGCCATCGAGTTGATGAGCTTGAAGATATAATTGGGGAAGATGATGGGTTTTCAGACCCAGAAGATGAGGAACTGATGCGACAGCTTGCAGCTGAAGGTGAAGAACACGTCCGATTCGCGGCTACATTGAACTCTACGTCGCACACCGAGAATACATTTGATTACGAGCAGGAGCTCAAACAGCTGCGATCCCAACAGAAGAAGGATCGCAGAGATGCGGATGAAGTGTCTCAAATCATGATCTCTGAGTGTCAGCAACTTCTAACGCTGTTTGGCTTGCCCTACATTACCGCACCAATGGAAGCCGAGGCTCAATGTGCAGAGCTGGTGACATTGGGCCTCGTCGATGGCATCATCACTGATGATAGCGATATTTTCTTGTTCGGGGGTACACGCGTCTATAAGAACATGTTCAACCAAGGGAAATTTGTCGAATGCTATCTAACTTCTGATTTGGAGAAAGAATATGCCCTCCATCGAAGGAAACTTATCAGCTTTGCCCATTTACTTGGCAGTGATTATACAGAAGGTATCCCCGGCATTGGACCGGTGACAGCGCTGGAAATTCTCACTGAGTTTTCTAACCTGGAGGAGTTCCGTGATTGGTGGACCCAAGTTCAAATGGGAGTGAACGTATCTGTCGGGGAGCATGCTGCTTTTTACAAGAAGTTCAGGAAGCAGGCTTCTAAAATTTTTCTGTCGCCTTCTTTCCCGAATGGCCAGGTTGATGCGGCATATCTCGAACCCGAAGTCGATTCGGATCCATCTCCCTTCCAGTGGGGAGTCCCCGATTTACATGGCCTGCGCAATTTTCTGATGGCGACGATCGGATGGAGTCAGGAACGGACCGATGAAGTTCTGGTGCCAGTTATCCGTGACATGAACCGCAGAGAGCAGGAAGGCACGCAGTCTAACATCACAGCTTTCTTCCAAGGACCTCAGGGGGCCGGCGCTTTTGCACCGCGTGTCCGCAGCGGAGGCCAGAGCCGAATGGAAAAAGCATTTAGCCGACTTCAACACGAAGCCAGGAGCGAGGCAGTCCAGTCTACGCAAAGTACCAGAGCTGAGACCAACCCAGCGGAGCAGTCGGAAAGCACTGGTTCCTCCCAACCTCCACTAGAAAAAAAAACTATGGGCACTAAACGGAGTGCACAGACTAAGGATAGTGTGAGTGGTGATGATGTCACCGGAAAGAAACGAAGGACCCGACGGACCACGACGAAGTAACTAAAACTCTCTCGCTCTCTACTTTATTATGATTCCTCTTTCTTTTCCCCCCCTTCTTCCTTCCCAGGTTGTTATGTAATAGAAGCTTGAATAAACTATAGATGGCGCACAACCCCACTGTTAGTCATAGCCACATAATGTTGCTTTGGAGCCAATAGCTCGGGATGCGATCTGACGACGATCCCTAATGCGGAGACAGTCGATCATTTGACTCGATCTGGAATTTAAATTAACCTTATACACTAGTCGCATATCACATATCATGCGTGGTTGTACAAACTGTTGCAAGGCATATCATGCCGCGTGAAACGCTATGATACGAAGTTGAATTGGAACCACCATGGATCACCTTGTTTATAAATAAACCAAATCAAAATAAGAATTCATTTTTAAAAGAGGGTCCTGGACAAGGTAACCCTAACAGCGCGTGATGACATCCGTTTGAGATTTTTGTCTCTTCAACGTTGGAAACAGTAAAAAAAGAGTTTTTCAGAGACGGGAATCGATGACATCAGTGAAATGAACAGAAAATGTTTTTCTTATTTTTTTTTTTGGGTCGCAATGACGTCGCAGATCACGACTTAGCTCTTGATGATCATCGAAACAGATTATATTCTTCTTCTTTTCCTCCCCCGCAGATTCCTTCCCCCCGGTGCAGAAGACGATCCTCTGGAACTGCATGTTCATGTTCACTTGAGTCCATGTAAAATTATTTGTCAATTGAGAAAAACGCTCGTCATTAATTGTTCATCACTGCCTAACGTGATATCCGAATCGGGTTAGCCTCCCGAGTAGTCTCGACGTCACCGGCGGTTCTCCTGTTGCAACAGACCAACTCCACTGCTCTCTTCTCACTTGGATCAAGGGGGAAAAGAAGGCTGGAAAAGAGGTTCAACCAGGAAAAAACAACAAAAGTACCATCCCCCGTTCCTTGGGTCGGTTTGACCTAAGTATACGATTTTCGCCAGACACCTCGTCCGCTCACTGCGTTGGTCCCGGTTGCAGTTCCTTCCCCTCGTGCCCTCATCGTCCTTCCGTCGCATCCCGTTGCGCCCACTGGTACACGTCACTCCTGCGCAAAGCGAACCTTCAAAGAAACCGCATCATCCATTTTCAGACGATCTTTTCCAAACTTTTTTTTTTTCTGATTGATTTCTCTGTATCCTTTTGTCTCGTTCGCTTGCATCTAGCTTCCCATACAAACCGTAGCTATGCATCGCACCTACTCCATGCGCCAATCGCGCATGCCCACCGCATCGCAGATTGAGAATCCGCCTCCGCCATTGTCCACGACCAAGACAAACCGATGGATTGGGAAAGGCGGCTTCGGTGAGTGTGTCCGAGTTCCTTCGGCTGCCTCGCGGCAAATGAAAGTTTTCCCTTGCGAGCAGCCCCCCGGCAGCGATTGAAGCTGCTACGCAAATGGTGCTGACAATGCCTACTGGCCCAGGCCATGCCTTCCGTAAGAATGCCGCCGGCGCATTCGGACCCGACCTTGCAAGGAAGCTCTCCCAACTCGTCAAGATGGAGAAGAATGTCATGCGCAGTATGGAAATGGTAGCCAAGGAGCGCATGGAGACCGCTGTACGTGCGAGAGAGATGCACACAAATCATGGGAATGGCGACTAACATGTTCACAGCAACAATTGTCCATCTGGGGTGAGAACTGTGACGAGGACGTGTCCGACATCACGGACAAGATCGGCGTGTTGCTCTATGAAATTGGAGAGTTGGAAGACCTCTATGTCGACCGTTATGATCAGTACCGTGTCACCATCAAGAGCATTCGCAACATTGAAGCTTCCGTTCAGCCCAGCCGAGACCGTAAGTTGATCTTCATTGTTCAAGTACTATAGCTTAGACTGATCCTTACGACGAACTATATAGGCAAGCAAAAGATTACCGATGAGATCGCCAAGCTCAAGTACAAGGACCCGAATTCTCCCCGGATCGTTGTTCTCGAGCAAGAGCTGGTTCGCGCGGAAGCCGAGTCCCTCGTGGCCGAGGCTCAGCTTTCCAACATCACTCGCGAGAAGCTCAAGGCAGCTTTCCAGTACCAGTTCGATGCACTCCGTGAGCACTGCGAGAAGGTGGCCATTATCGCCGGCTACGGCAAGCACCTTCTGGATCTCATCGACGATACTCCAGTCACCCCCGGTGAAACTCGTGCCTCATACGATGGATACGATGCCAGCAAGGCTATCATCCAGGATTGCGAAGAGGCACTCGCCAACTGGGTTACCTCCAAGGCCGCCGTCAAGTCCGACGTGTCACAGCGCACGCGCACCCTATCTCAGCGTCGCCGAGAGGCCATCGGCAAGAACCGCGAAGGCGTCGACCTTTCTACTCAGGACCAGCCCATGAGGGGCGATCGGGACTCGTGGGTCCCTGCTGATCAACACGCAACCTATGTTGAAGATGGTGAGGAAGTCGCCAGCACCGTGGACGGAGAGGCTCGGGGTCGAGAAGAAGAACGCGAGCCTGTCAGCGTCTAAGGCGGCCGATTTGCAGCCACGAACATCAACGTTGGTATATTATATGTTGATGGTTTTTGTCGAGTCCTCGTCTTTTCATCCTTGTGATACTCCGGATTGAAGTCCCGCTTGATGTGATGTTGTCGTTTTGCCGTGATTTCATCTCTGTTCATGTTACCACCCGTGTGTTATTTACTACGCTTAATTCAACCCCTCCAAGGGCACCTACCCGACAAGAAGATTGTATCCAGATGCCCATTCTGGCCGTTGTACGCCTCGAATCCGGCTGATAATGTCATGACCCTCTTACTATTCACGGATGGAGAACAATGTTAATACTGACCGAAAAAATGAACCGAGGGGGCCAAGAAACGAGAGACTGGAGTATTTGTGATACTATGGGTCAGACTGTCGGAGAGGGGAGGGAGTCATTGTTTAATTGAATAATGTAATACCATACTATCTGCGACAGAATATTCTTATAGTGATTTTGAATTGGTCACGCGGCTGCTCTGGATAGGAATAGTAATTAATTCTTTTCAGGTAGAAGTTCATGGTCCATGAGACAATCATTGTCTCGTATACTTCTAAGTATCAGGAGTAGTTACGGATGACGACGTTTAATTCCCGCTTCAACTGTGGTCCACTCGTTAACCCCCCTCGCTATCTCCGATTGGCCATTGGTGTCGATCTGTCTCAAATCAAGTAACATCGCGGACGATCACCATCGCATCCCATCTGCGATAAGAACATGGACTAGTACTCCGTCCATACGACGTACATAGCAGAGAGACAACACAGTCCCCTAACTTTCCCCTTCCAAGAAGTACCAAAGATCATCCAAAACAAGAGTTAAGAACTTGACGCAACCAGGACCGCCGGTATCATCGCAAATGCCAATCCCGGGACTATTTCATCTCGCAAGACAACTCAGAACTCCACTAACGTTCGTACGCCCCCGTAATCGTGGACTGATTTGGTACTGATTATCGTTGGTCGCCCCCGGAATTTCCTTCTGGACCTTAAATAGCCGAACGAGTATGATGTCAACGCCATGGTCCGTTGCTTCCCCCGGATTCCGCGCTTTGTGACTGACCGCTTTTCTTGTCAAGAGTGATGAAACATCTACTCGAGAGGTTGTTTTAAATTTTTTTTTTTCCCTATTGCCATCCGGGTATATATGTACAGTATGTGTGAATACTCTGTATGGATGTGTTCAATATTCGTGGCGGATTATACCTTCCAAAGAGTGCCCTGTCCGTCACTTTCCTCGCTTGTTACTTACATAGTACTCGTAGGGCATCCATACACGGGTCGTCTGTATGATCAAGCTGCTTTTGTTCTCCATAAGACTGGGTATATGTGTATACATCTAACTCAGGCTTCAGTTCCTCGAGGGGGCATCTCTGCTCCCTGAGATTCATTTCGTTTCTTTTCAAAGACTTACATGGCGGCCTGTGGATTATAGTAGAGTACAGTACCTTCTTTTCTGATTAGGATTATTGTCCAATGGGGTGGAAAGCTGAAGCCTGATATGCATATAATAGTAGTCACTATTCAAAAGGTAATAGTAGTATCCAGTACTCCGTAGTAAGCGCCAAGACAGAACAGCCGTAGCCCAACAAAGAAAAAGAGCAAGACAACATCGCAGCCTGACAAGCTCCGAGTCCCTCGCGAATGTATGTTCAAGAAAGGCTCCCCATATATATATCTCATGTCACAAAAGCAAACCTCCCCGGATGTGCCCGGATTCTCTATGTGTGTGTGTGTGATTCATACATCCTGTATACCTTTCGCCTGCAATCTATACGCGGAGCGGGCTTAGGATAAACTCTGGATGAAAGAAAATTGAACGCCATCAGTTGATTCTCAGCTCTAGTACCTATCAGAGGTTTAAGCTGAGCTACTGCAGGCACGGTAGGATCATATGTTGCAGGTCCAACGTGTGATAGGGGTTTGCCAAATTCAACCCCGATAATAACTGAACCCCATCCTTATACTCCAATTGTGGGTGACAGGGCGAAGGAGACCCTGACTCTGATCCGTGAGGACACATGAAAATCGTAGACCGGACCCCCAACTTGCCTGCAAGATTCACCGAACATAACTAATGAGAAAAAACAAACAGGAGGGTGAACAAGAAAAAAGAGATAGGAACAGAAGAACCAAACAACCTAAAAAATGATAGCATATCCCAGGTCTCGCACTCGCACTCGCACACAGCAAAACACAAATGATCAAAGGTCATTACATCGTCAAGTGCCTCCATCATAGGACGGATAACCAGCCCAGACAAAGATAGAGGATATGAAGACAGATGCGAAAAAGAGAAGCTAGAACCAACGCCCAAAACATGAGCATGTAGTAATATCAGAAGGGAGGAGGGGATGGGGAGGGATAGAAGGAAAAACTGAAGATACATAAGGCAACAGGAAAACAAGACTTCTTCGTTTTAGTCTCTAGTTATCGGTGCCCACACCCTTCTTTTTTGGCTGGATGTGTTTTTGGCCGTTTCCGCCACTATTGCCTTTTTGGTTCAAGGCTATGCTATCTTCCGGTGGTGGTGGCATGCGACTACTCGTCGCTTCGTGTTTCTCAGTCAAGAGATTCTTCAGCCATCGATTTTCCATCTCCAGCTGGGCCACGCGGGCCTCGAGAGTAGCGTTCTTTTCAGTCGTCTCTCGGACTGTCCGTTCTAGCGTCTGTTCACGCTGCTTCTTTTTCATGCGAAACCGGGCGCTAGCCGCGGTGTTTCGCCGCCGCCGGTCTTCTTCGGCAGCACGACGAACATGCTCTTCTTGCGAAAGTGCAGAAGCGAGGTGATCACCAGGGATCTGCGTGCTGTACTTGGTGTTGCCGAGTTGACCATTCGGGGGTGATATGGATGATGAGACGTCCGAGGGAGTTAGAGCCCCCGGGGCATGACCCAGATCATCAGGTCCATAAGAGATTGGAGGGTAGATCGGGTGAGCTGGATATGAGATCATTTGGTCGGGGAGGGAGTAGTTGATGTGCTTATCAGCTGCTGGGAATAGATGTAAGTAACGGGATGGACAGTTTCTAGACAGCAACGCTGCAAGCATGAATCTAGCCAAGGTGATAAGACAGAAAGAAGGAGCAAGTGTTATCATACGAGGGAAGCTCCAAAGGGAACATGAGACCCCTGAAGGGAAGCTTTAGATGAACAGAGGGAGATGCGTGGCTAAGGGTCCGGCAACAACCAACGACAAGGTTACCGACGTTGTCATTGGTGTGATGGATTGCGTGCTCGTCTCCGTGATCAACCAGGCATGCGGGTGCAAATGAGAGAACAACCAAAGGGGTATAAGAAAATCGGCAAATTAGAAGACAGAGAAAAGAGGGGTGGGGGGAACAGGCAAACACAATAGAGAGACAGATGAAGCAAAAGATACATGAGCCCAGAGTTAAACCTCGACTTTACCAGGTTGTGGGCAACATAGTATGGAATGATCCACGAGAGTTGGAAAGCAAGGCAACAATGACAGCCAAGATTAACAATTGCAAACAAACTAAGGGCACAACAAACAAGAAGAAGCTTTTCCCCGGAAAAAGGGAAAGAAGGTATTTAGTTGGAGACGCATGAGATCAGCTTTGACAACGATCCGAGTGCACCTCAGCAATAGCTCTACCATTTCCACCTAATGCCGCAAAGACCACAAAATTGAGACACGAACCAGGGATCGAGCAGATGGCGCAAACAATGCAACGTTGAGAGTCATAAAAGCTCAGACTTACCATGATAGGGATACCCTCTCACATCGATCGGATTCCGTTCATCCTCGATGCTATCGTAGGAACTGACGGAAATACCGCCCATTCCCTCGGTCTGGTCGTAATCCATACTGAGGTTCTGAAAAGGAGCCAAGCCGGCCGAGTCTGCGTCGAAAGAGTAATGTCGACTCTTTGCCAGGGCAGGATCGTGTCGGGAGAGTAAGAAGTTGAAATTCTCAAGCCTATCGAGGCTTGACGCTGTCTGACGAGCGATGTGCTCATCTGACATATTGGCTGCGCGATGGGTTTTTAGAGGTTTTAGAGCTGCGTCCGTTCTGGTAATGGCCTCGTTTTGGTCTTTGCCTCTTTAATTTAAGTTTCTGGTAATTTTTCTTTTTTTTCTTTTTTCTTCTTCTGAATTACCTCTTGCGCCCACCTAATTTAATTTAATACTTTTCTTTTTTCTTTTTTCTTGCTTCCTTTCTTGAGAGGAGCAGGAACCAGACTGGAGGGCGATGGCGCCAGAACAAGCTTGAACCAGAGAAGAAAGTCAAACCCCAGATTGGCTTAAAGAGGGGGGGAAAGCTCGGAATTGGTCCAGGAATGCACGAATCTCACAGGTCCAAGGTTGTATGACTTGTCGCAAAGATATCTGTTCTGCGATCACTGCATCGCAAGTCGCATAGCGCGGGAGGTGACCAGCCACGTACGCAAGAGCACGAGTAAAAATAATATTAGAACAATAATTATAATAGTGACAACAACAACAATAACGGCTCGCGACGGGGATGAACAAAGTCGGTAATAAACCTCGTACGAATGGAGACGATAGAAGCCGGATGGGGGTTCGGGAGGGGGGTCACAGAAGGAGCGAAAAAGAACCACACCAAAAAGACCAATATCACCAACGCAGAGACATGGACGATTGATGGAGCACCAGCCGGGGGGCAAGCAGCTGGCGTAGCAGCAGCGAGCAATTGGAACAAGGCAAGAGAGCTGATCGTCTCACGCCCGTCCAAGCTAGTGGATGATCTGATAGAATGGAGAAATGTCGTGATCGCACGCTCTGGTTCGCCAGTTGCAGCCTCGGGAATAAGTGTATGGTAATTTTAATTTTACCGCTTTCTCAGCGGAACGGCGGGAACTGTTGTATTTTTGGGGGGGTGGGAGGAAAAAGGTCGGAGGTGTAGTAACGGATTAAAGGGAAAACATAGAAAGGGGGGAGGGGGAAGGGGGGATATGGGTGATAGATATAAAGTAAAAGAAAAAAAAAAAAAAAGAAGAACAAAGAGTTCAACGTCCAGTAGAACATGATATTTGTCCCATTGAGGGGGTAAGTATATCATGATCAAGTGTGTGGATTTCCTTCTCCGCCCATCAATAAGGGGACGGGAAGGGGAGGAAAATTACGTGCACATGCTGTTCATCCATACGACGTTGCAACGTAAGTGTCGTCAAGTACAGTTAGTGTATGGGAAGATACTGTTAAAATATGGATATCTGAGTGGATCAGGAAAGTTACAGGTACTTCTGATGTACTGGAGATAGAATTGTGATTGGCATAATTGCCAAGTACTCAAGTACCTAACCATGCAGTGACGGCCCATCCATACGGTAAAGTAAATTAAATCCGAGTGCGTGTCAGTAATCTCCATCTCCATGGCTTCTTTCAATCTATCCTATCCCTTAGTCCATAACCAGACTCCACTTCGGGGAAAAAGGAACCTCTGTTCCAGACTTCTAGTCCTAAGCAAAGATGGTTTCATACCAATTCTTGAGCAAATCACACCCATACCTTACGCGTTCCTAAATGACGC